TCTGTTGAACAGCGTTAACTGTGCTGACTTAACCCCTGACCAAAAAAGAAAAAGGGGCAATTTGATGACTTGTGTCTGTAAAAATGTTTTGAAAATCCTAAATCATTATCCAAAGTATTACTAATCCAATTTATATTCCAAATTAAAATTACATTAATTTTGGATAGAACTTTTCTCTGTTGGAAAACAAAAGAATAAGAAGGAATATTTAATTCATTAAACTTTGAGCTGTCTATGTCAAAAAGATGGACTCTGCTTTGAGGAGACAGCTTTTCCCTAATAAAATTTTGAATGCCTTAGAAACAGAAGGTCATATACTTGTTGACACTATATCAAACAATGAACCACTGCTATTCACAATGACACTCAACATCACAAAAAGAAAAGGTGGGAGATCACAGAACAATGATCAGAAAGATGAGTGGTTGTGGGTGTGTGTAGGTGAGTCAAAGCTGCCTCACAGCCATCCTATAAATAATAGTTCTGAAGTGTGTCCATCCATGACCAACTTGATCATCTCAGATACACTCCCTCCCGATGTCTCAGTCACAGTGCTTTTAGTATCTACCACTCATCTCTGTCATCTCAGCAGATGAGTGGTTGAAAGCCAATAAAACAGCCACTAACTTAACCCTGAGTTAATTAATATTATTCCTTCTGTTAGAAAATAGAAATGAGATACTGTAAGAATAAAGAAATATTTAAGCTTCTACTAAATTATTTGAGAAAACAAAGCTATATCTTTTCCTGTAAAGATTCTTTTTTTAAAAAAGGCAAAAGATGTACTGAACAATATGAAATCTGATTACAAATGTTTTTAAAAATTGTGATGGCACATACATTTTTTATATTTTTATTTTTGCTGTTACAAGGCTTTATGACTGTGTGTTAACGTCCTCTACATTACTGAAAGAACGGGCGAATGTTAATATTTAGCACGTTCTTCTTGTTCATGATTGCCATCGGGTTGAGCACGACTCATGGTGACCCTATGAACAAAAGATTCTGAAGCTTTTTAACTATCGTTTCTCAAAGTTCATAGATTCCAGAGGCATGTGGTTCAGGGAGTGGGTGCCACTCCTGCTTCCAATATTTGGCATACACTTTTATATTTTTTTATTGTTCAGAGTCTTACCATTCATAATATGTACTATAGATAAAACTAAACTCTTAAAATTTGCCTTTTATCTTTAAAGGTATTCAGTGTGCACCATTATTTCCCTTAATTCTTGTGATGTGTGCACTAATTCATTTTTAGTTAGATGAATTTTATCATTATTTCTCTAAGAATTGTCATTTATGTTACATTCCCTGGGGATTTTTTTATTATTATGTTAAAGACTATCTGCTGGGTGCCATTATATTTGAAAGACATTTTTGTGGGTGATGTTGTCTGTGCCACTTCTCACTTTTTCCTTCTTTCAGAATGTTGTAGCCTTTTAGTCACTGTGTCCTGGTGGAGAATGCCTCTGTTATAAAATCTGACATTAACCTCATTGTTTTTTCTTTCACTCAATTTACTACTTTTGCCTGTTCTTTTTGCAGTTTTTCTTTAACTTTGAAGATAAGTTACTTAACTAGAACATGCCTTGGTATTGACGGTTCTGTCTCACATGTTTCAGAAATAGAGTTGTTGTTGTTGTCAAGTGCTGTTGTGTTGCTTGCAACTCATAGCAACCCTATGTACACTAGCTTTGAACCCTACTCTATCATAAACCAATCTCAGTGTTTCTGACACATCTGCCCCTTTAACCCCAGTCACTCCACTCTCTCCACCCTTCTAAGCATGACGTCCTTTTCCAAGGACTGGCCCCTCCATGCAATATCCAGTATTCCTTAAATTCACAGGATATTTTCTTGATATCTTCTGATACATTTGTTTGATTCCCTTTTTTAGGGATATCAAAGACCATTAGGTTGGAGGATCTCTTTTTATATCTCTTATTTAATATTTTCCAATTGCTTTATTATGGGCATATTTTCCAACTTAATTATAGCAAATATTCCTTTATGTTACTCATTTGACTTTCCTTATTAACTATGGACATTTCATCATAACAAATTATGGCTGACATAGAAAAGCAGCAGAATTCCAGAAGAATTTAATTTTGTTCATGCAAAGCCTATACATAGATCAAGAAACACTTGTATGAAAAGAACATTAGAACACTGGAAAATTTAAAATTAGAAAAGGTATGGATGAGAATTGGATCCTTTATCCAAATTTATTCTGCAGACACAACTTAACTTTCAGAAAGCATGAAAGACTTCAATCACTTACTGCAAAAATCAAAGACTCTAGCCTTCAATATGGATTTCATCTTAATACCAAGAAAACAAAAATCTTCACTTGACCCATTGGCAGCAAAATGATAGATGGAGAAAAGAATAGAAGTTCATCAACAATTTCATTTTTACTTGCATTCACAGTCAACACTCATGGCATTAGCAGACAAGAACTCAAAAGATGTATTGCATTGGGAAAATCTTTTGTCGAGGACCTCTCGAAAGTGCTAAAGAGCAATGATGTCAATTTCAAGGTTGAGATGTGCCTGGTTCAAGTTATGATCATTTCAAATACTTCCTGGGCAATGAATAAGGGTGACAGAAAAAGACTCAATGTCTTTGAATTGTGTTTGTTGGAAAGAATATTGAACATCCCATGGACTGCTAAAAACATCCCACTCCATCAAGTCTGTGTTGGAAGATCAACTAGCTTTCCCATTAGAGTCAAGGTTAGTGAAACTCTGCCTAACATACTTTGGATATGTTATCAAGAGAAGCTGGTCTTTGAAAAAAAGACATCCTAGTAGGAAAAGTAAAGAATCAAAGAAAAAGAGGAGGATGGTCAACAAGACAGATAGAGACAGTAACTGTAACGGTAGAGACGGTCATGTTGGAGGGTGTGGCCATGACCTAGGACAGGGGAAGGTCCAGGTCTATCGTTCATAGGCCACTGAGTCATAGTTGACTTAATAGTGCTATTGTTGACATTTAGGTCCCTGGTTTCACAAACATTTTGTTGACCCTCTACCAAAAATGATACATTTTTTCTCAGATTATCCTTACCTCGTGTAGTTTCCAAGGTTTCCTTTCAAAGGAACATCCTGGTTTTATTGCTTGAGAGGCTAATTTGTTTGCTCTCCTGACTTTTCATGGTATAATTAATATTTTACATTAACATACTAGTTCTCATATACCTCACGCTCTTCCATCTTCCTTTTTCCACATGCATATGAAGCAATTGCAAAGAGCATAGCTTAGGTGAAGTATACCTTAATAGTCAAAATTACATATTTGCTTTTTAAAACTCTAGCTAGATCTTTATCAGCAAACTTTCTGTCATGAAATATATTGCTTGATTTCTTACTCACTGTTTCCTTGGGCATTGATTGTTGACTCAAGTAGAGTGAAATCGCTGGAAAATCCTACTTTGTTCTTCATTTATCATCATCATTTTGTTGTTTCATTTTCTTTGGACCTACAAAGATGGAAAGTAAAAAACTGAACATATATCATGATAAAGATATGGAATATAAAACAGCTTTAATGAGTTTCAGTTGGTCAAATCAAGACAATTTAGACATCAAGATAAAAATCTCTATGACAATTCTTTTTTTCCCATTCATGTACATTGGATTTTACACAATCTTTCATTTACACTGTTTCATACACTAGTTTGTATACATTGTATTTAATATAAGAATCTTATATAATTCATTACCATTAAGGTGTGCCTAGTATTACACTATCTCTTCAAGTCCCCACAGAATCTTTCCTATTGCTTCAATCCCCCATCTGTTCTATAAACTGTTCTCAAGTCATTCCTTTGTCGATGGGCATTGGGAATGTTTCCATGATCTTGTTATTGGAAATAATGCTGCTATGATTATAAGTGTACGCATCTCCACTCCTGTCTCAGTTCTAAATTATTTTTGGTATCTTCCTAGCAGTGCAATAGCTGGGTCACACAGGATGTCTATGTTCAGCTTTGGCAATTCTTGGAATAAATAAGGATGTATGCATCTACACTGATAGAATGAACTATACTAATAGAAATATATAAATAAAACAATTAAATAGTCAATAAGGATTACCTAAGCATAAACAAGTATTAAAAAAAGAAAAAAACAAAAAACCCACAAAAATAAATAAAAATCTAACTTTTCTGTAAACTTTTGTTAAAATCACAATGAAAAACCAAAGTATAAAAACGTAAATCTTGAAATGGAAAAAATATACTACTAATTACAACGAGTATAAAAGGAAATTTGTAGTAATAAAAGCTGATAGACATCACCTTAAAAAATCATCAGGATTTATAAAACTATAATTGGAAAAAAAATAGAAGTTCAGATACAGTATAAAGGACATAGCATCCCTGAATCAAATCATAATGAAATTGAGGAAATATGGGTAATAGGATGCAAGGATGTAAGGGATAACACTAGGATTAATGTACTCTGCTGCCTCAGAAGAGTCTATCAATGATCATTTTTAAAAGTCAAGTTTCCACGGTTTTCTTTTACTTGTCTTTAATTTTGCTTTCTTCAAAGAAGGAAATCAAATAAAGTCTAGGGACTCGCTTGAGATTGCAAGAGCATAAAAAGACCTAATAATTACATGACACTGGTGATTCTCAACAGAGTTATTTTCCTATAAAGAATCTCATCAGAATAAATGGTGACATGGGAGCTGAGAATTAGATACATTAATGGATCAAGTGAGCACAAAACTACCTAACAACAGGAGTAACAACGCGATCAAAATTAACTCATGGATTTTGATGCTTTGTAATAGTTGTGTCAAAGAATGCCTTTTTTTTTGGTAGGAAATATAAACAAATTCATTTGGAGTGGGGTCAATGTATATATTTTCAATCACTGACAAAGATAATCATTCTTTCCTTTTTTCCTTTAAGTATGTTATTTTTTTCAAGCATGTATTTTTCATTCTAATTATTTGTTCTTCCCCGCCCCCACCCCCCCACAGGTGATGGTCTTTTGAGCCGTCCTGTTTTTATCCAGGAGCCACATGATGTTATTTTCCCCTTGGCTTCTTCAGAATCTGGAGTCATTTTGGACTGTGCTGCCAATGGCTACCCCTTACCGCAATACAGGTACCGTCCTTTCACTCAGCCTCGCTCTGTTTCTCTTTGTTTGAGGTGACATGGATTGCTTAAAATGTGATCACTTGAAGCGTACCCTCTAAGCACTCCCTAGGTTAATAATTCTAGTCATCTCCCTCTCAAAAGGTGCCCGCTTCTAAGACTTCATTGTTAATGGTTAGCTTAAGATACTTATTCTTGAGGTTGTTGCCATGCAGTGCTAATAGAATAAAAGAGAAAAGAAGACGAAAAAGAAAAAAAAAAACTCAGAAAAGGCAAGTTTGTTTCTCATATTTCAAAGAGCCTAAAGTGTATACTCATTGAACCCTTTCTCCAATATTAGAGGACCTTCTCATTTTCCCCATGCATACTGCATGAAAATGTTTTAAAGATGTTAACACGGATGAGGCACTGTTTCTTAGTATGCTCATATAAATAATATTTTACTGGTAAAACCAGGAAAGGACAGAACAAATACTAAAATAATTACTGTGGCTTTTGGTGCTAAAAACATATTTTCTAAAAGAATCTTAACTTTCAGCACCGAATACACGTACACACGCTCACCTGCACTCATGCACGTACAAGACACACACACAAAGAGGCAGAGAAACAAGTTCATCCAGTTTTGACAAAACTGTATGGTTTTGCTAATTTTTAGTTTGCAGTGAGGTAGATAAGTACCATCACTTTGCAGACTATTTATCTAACTGTACAAAGCCATTTCAGTTCTATCTCTCTGTGCTTTGTGGATTAAGTTTTGTCATCTTTCCCCCTCAAAAAGCTGAGAAACCAAGTCTTCTCTCTTCAGTGACACAAGAGCTCTGGAAGTTGTTTGTGATGTGGCATGTGGTGTTCTGCTGCCAGTGGGATGCTACTCTCTGGCCTTTTACATTCACCTGTGTCACGAAGGGACAGTGATGGACACTCTCCTCCTTCGAGATTTACAGCCTCAGAAACAGGATGCAGGCTCCCTAGGAGTCATGGCCAACTGAAGGGCCGTGGGGGTAAAGTACAGGAAGGAACAAATGGTCCATGTTCAAGGCTACTATCAGAGAGCAAGCCCACCCAGACCTGTGTTGGAAGAAGGCTTGGCAATCTACCCGTGAAAGCTGACCACTGGGACCTGGGGCCATTGTCCTACTCTGACTTGCCTGGGCTCAGTGTGGGTCCGGAGGGACTATGGTAACTGGTTTTCATCTTGCAGAAATTCACCAGTCTGTTAGGGACAGACAATTCACTTACCAAATAGATTCATCTCTATCAAAGCAGTTTTTGTTCTGTTTTATGAAATAATGAGCTGTCATATTACATCAAAATTCTGATTACCATACATGTCAGACAGAACACCTCAGATTTAAAGTTTTGAGAGCTAATATAATTGACCATAGGAGTTGGAAAGAAGGGAAAGTGTATAGAGTCATAGAAAATAAGGAATATTTGCTGCATACAAGTTAGAGAAATTAAAAAATAGTAAAGCTTGTGCTATATAAGTATCTTTTGACATGTAAGAGAGGGAAAAAGACATAAAATGGTGCTTAAGATATCTGCTGGTTAATTCTGTCTATAAAAAAAAATACACAAAGGGGAGCTCTGGTGGCCTAGTGGTAAGGAACTGCAACTACAATCCCAGAGACGCACGGCTCGAATCCACAAGATGCTCTGCCAGGGAAGGGGGGACAATCGCCTCCTGTACCAGTCAGATCTGATTTGACGGTACACGTACACAAAAAAATAAGTAAGTAAATAAATAAATAATACACAAAATGATAAGAACTCACACTCCAAAGCTGTGAAATGGCTTTTATTTCTAAAATGCTGGCAAAATTAAGAGGCTCACGTCAGTTAATGCAGTTTCTTATTCCCTGACCCCGTGACCTGGCTTAGCTCGTCAGCAATATTAAATCACAAAGCTTCTTGAGCAAGAGAACTTGGTAAGAAAATAAAAGGAGAACTAAGATTTTAATGCTTAAATGTCAAGCTCTGAACAAGTTTCATTGACAATAACACAAAGGTCAAAGGAATTTCAGATAATGGATATTAGCAACAAAATGTGAGTATTTAGTTTCAGTATAGCCTTTCTACCTTAAATTTCATAACAAAACTCACTTGTAGCAATCCTCACCTTAAAAGTAATAGAGGGAGGGGGAGCTCTGGTGGCCTAGTGGCAAGGAGCTGCAACTACAATCCCAAAGGCGCACGGTTCGAATCCACCAGATGCTCTGCCGGGGAAGGAGGGATAATCTCCTCCTGTACCAGTCAGATCTGATTTGACGGTACACTCACAC